TAGCCCAGGGCCAGTCTTCCTCGGCAAAAAGAGGATTGGCATGGATGTTAGCTCAGGGCTGATCTTCCTCACAAAAAAAAAAAAAAAACGCTCCCCAAGAGCCCCCTCCACAGGCCTCAGTCCTCTGTGTGGTCCTTTCTGACACTCTCTTGCTGCCACGCCCACTGTTCCCCAGGGTGTGCGTTCTCCCTCCCTACAAGGAGAAGAAACCTGCTTGTTCCACTCTAGGTGTGTTCCTGGGGGGGTGTGGCTAGAGGGCACTGACAATAGCAACAATATGATGAAGTCAAGGCTTAGAGTGAAAAACTGCTAAGTGACCCTCTTAGCAAAATGCTACTTAGTGTTACATTCTTACTCTTATCCAAAACTCCCGTTCGCATGGGCCCACCTGCTTATCTGCAGTCAGGCCAACTGAGACATCTGTAGCAGAGCTTTTATAAACTCTGCAGGAAGAGCCACACTGTCTGTCCTGCACAGTTAGCAACAGTAACTACTCACCGGGAAGAAGGAAGTCGAAAACAGAAAAAGAGCTCTCTGTTAAAAAGGAGAAGGGGGGGGGGAAGCGGGGTGCTAACTGGAAACCTCCCCGGCCTGTCAGAACCCAGAGGCTGCTGTCCCAAACCTTCCTTGTGAAGAGAGGTGGGGGCGTGGTGGGGGCTGGCAGCCCTTAGCAGCTGCACCTGCCATCAAAGCCAGCAGCCTTTGTTTTGTTTTTTGCTTTTTCACCAGTTCACTTGGGACCCTTGGAGACATTCCTCCTCCCTGCCCTCTGTGTGCAGCTGTGGTGAAGTCACTTCCTCTCAACAAAACTTGGCCTTAGCTATTAGGGTTAGAATGGCTGACAGAAATCTGGGTGGCTCCCCCACCATTTTTCAGATGAATGTGAGCCTTACCCAGCTAGTTAAACATGATTTCAATTTCTGATTAAAAAGAGTGTGTAACTGAGAGGGGCCTGGAGTCTTCGACACAGTGATTCTCAACTTGGGCTGCACATTGGAATCATCTGGGGAGCTTTAAAACCTACTGCTGCTGCCTGGGGCCCCACCCAGGTGCAGCCCTGGCATTCGGATTGTTAAAAAAATAAAAACCCAGGAGATTCCAATGTAAAGCCAAGCGTGCCATTGCCAAATCAAAAAGCAGTGTGAACTGCAACAGATACAACTCCACACCCACGAGGATGGCTCTAATATAAGTAAATAAATAAATTTTAAGAGCCAGAAAATAACAAGTGTTGGTGAGAAAGGAGAAATTGCTGGTGGGAATGTAAAATGGTGCAGCCGCTATGGAAAACAATTTGGCAGTTCCTCAAAAAGTTAAACATGCAGTTACCATATGACCCAGCAATCCCACTCTTGGGTATGTACCCAAGAGAATGGAAAACAGGTGTTCAAACAAAAACCTGTACACGCATGTTTGTAGCACCACTATTTACAAACGCCAAAAGGTGGAAACAACCAAATTTCCATCAATAGATGAATGCATAAATAAAATATTATTCAGCTATAAAAAGGAATGAAGTACTGATGCATGCTACAATATAGATGAACCTCAAAAACATTATGCTAAGTGAAAGAAGCCAGTCACAAAAGGACAAATACCCTATGATTCCATTTGAAATGTCCAGAATAGGTAAATCCATAGAGATAGAAATTGAGTTTGTGGTTGCCACGGGCTGGGGGGAGAGGGGAAGTGACTGCTTAATAGGTATGGGGTTTTTTGGGGGGTGATAAACATGTCTTGGGATGAGATACAGGCAGTGGTTCCCCAATATTGTAAATGTACTAAATGCCAGTGAGTTTTTCACTGGAAAATGGCTAATTCTATGTTATATAAATTTTACCTCAATTAAAAAAAAAAAAAAGACTTGTAGCCAAACCAAGTTTACAAGGTAAAGCTGTATAGAAATTTTTAAGTGAACTTCATCACCTGAAAGCAAATTTTGAGTAAATGCTTGATGGGATGGAGTTGAAGTGAGATGTTGGCAAAAAAAGAGCAAAATTGAAGGCTGCTGGGAAACCAGCCTCATGGTTGTGGTTTTCCCAGAGAAGAGCATTCTGCAGCCTCAAATGCTAACTTATTTCATCCTTACAGTAGCCCTAAGACGTAGTTGCAATTATCCCCATCTTAGAAACTAGTTAACTGAGGCACAAAGAGGTTACGTAGCTAGAAAGTGGTAGAGGCAGGACTCAAACCCAGGCAGGTGGTTTCAAAATCCGGCTGTTACCCCTTCATGGTGCTGCCTCTGATTGCCCTGCCTATCGTCTCCAATGGTCCCCACTTTTCTTACAACTCCCTAAAGCCAAAGTGTGTGAGCCTGCCTGCCTCCCATCAGGAAGTGGTTGGAGAGGGGGTTCTGCCTCCCTCCTCTCTGGAGCTATTGCCTATCTCCACCAAACAATTTCTGGGGTGAATTCCTGCCCCACCTCTTACTAGCTCTGTGACAGTGGACAGGTTCATCAACCTCTCTGGGCCTCCTTCCCCTCTCTGTAAAATGGAGTTAATAATAGTACCCACCTCCTAGAGTTGTCAGGATTAAATGAATAAACATATGACAAGCACGGAGGGCAGCGTCTGACACGTGACCAATATTTAATAAATGGTAGGTAGCTACGATGATGAGGACATTGGTATTGTTATTAAGGCACCCCCTACGCTAGGCCTTCAGGACTCCTGACTTCTCACCCTTGTGAACCCAGTGCTTGGCACAGTGCCTGGCACACAGTAGGCCCTCAGTGTCTGTGTCTTTTGAAATGAACTGAGGAATAAAACATCATGCTTGACACCCCAAAGTTGACCTCAAGCAGAGACCAAGTTCTCTGGGATCAGGAGTTTTGGAAGGGAAGTGAGGGCAACAGCCAACTTATGGGACTTCCCCATTCTGTTCCCCATCATTTGACTCATATTCCTGACCCCCAGGGTGCCGGGCAGTCCACAGCCCATTCAGAAGCCCCAGAAGCCCCTCTCTGGATGCTTAGTTAAGAAAAGTAAATGACAAAGTAGGTTTTACTTGAGACATTTCAAGCCAGCACCCTGAGTGCCTGTCATAATCCTCACTCGTGTCCCTGCTGACCCTTTTAGAAGGAGCATGGAGAACACAAAAGGATGAGAAGTCAGTTCCTGCTGTTACCCTGCAGCCCCTTTCCTGCCCCCCTCCACTGCAGACTCGCGGTGCCCTGAGATGTGTCCCCACACCCGCAGAAGTTTCCTCCAGTTTGAGAAAGCCTGACTTAGAGGGGAGATTGGCAGCCTGAGGCTTTGTTACTCAGCCCTGAGAAGACACACAAGGCCAGCCTTTCTTAAGAGAACCTCCAGGGGCCAGCCCTGTGGCATAGCGGTTAGGTGCATGCATTCAGCTGCTGGTGGCCCGGGTTTGGATCCCAGGCGCGTGCTGACACACCACTTGTCAGGCCATGCTGAGGCCGCATCCCACATAAGGTGGAGGAAGATGGGCATGGATGTTAGCCCAGGGCCAGTCTTCCTCGGCAAAAAGAGGAGGATTGGCATGGATGTTAGCTCAGGGCTGATCTTCCTCACAAAAAAAAAGAACCTCCGCTTGAGACTCCCTCTACAAAGCCTTCACTTCTCCACGTGACATGCCATCCAAGCTGCCCCACTTCCTCATTTCCTCTCACTTCCAGCAAAGAATGGCGCCTTCGGGGGAGGGGAGGCCTAACTGTTGAAATGCATTACCTAAGCGCCTATGCCCAAATAATGACACAGTCAAAATTGTTACCAAAGGAAATCATAGAGCGTGTTTTGGTCCAAAAAGTAGTGCCCGGGCTTCTCGTCTGAATGCAGCATTTACTACTGCTATACTTGAAGACTGGCTACATTCTGAATTGTTAGTGCCAGTTAAATGTGTATTTTTCTGTAAGACTGATTCCTTACTTCCTTGGTCTCTGGAGAGGCAGTTTGGTGTAATGGTTAGGATCAGGGCCTTTTGTCGGCTGGCTTGGTCCTAATCTTAATTCTTCCATTTGCTTGCAGGTAACCTTTGGCAAACGATCTAATCTTTTTTTTTTAATTATTTTATTGAGGTCGTATTGGTTTATAACGTATAATTTCAGATGTACATTATTCTATATTGGTTTCTGTATAGACTGCATCATGTTCACCACCAATAGTCTAGTTTTTATCCATCACCATACATAGGTGCCCTTTTACCCCGTCCGCCCTCCCCCTTCTGGTTACCTCCCCTCTGGTAACCACTAATCTGTTCTCTTTGTCCACGTGTTTATCTTCCACATATGAGTGAAATGATACAGTGCTTGTCTTTCTCTGTCTGGCTTATTTCGCTTAACATAATACCCTCAAGTTCCATCCATGTTGTTGCAAATGGCACGATTTTGTCTTTTTTTACAGCTTAGTAGTATTCCATTGTGTATATATATATACCACATCTTCTTTATCCATTCATCAGTTGATGGGCACTTGGGTTGCTTCTACATCTGAAAATATGGAATACTTCAAGAATTTGTGTGTCATCCTTGTGCAGGGGCCATGCTAATCTTCTCTGTAGCATTCTAATTTTAGTGTATGTGCTGCAGAAGTGAGCACTGATCTAATCTTTCTGACTCCAGGTTTCTTCATCAGTGAAGGAGGTATCATTACAGCACCTCTTTCACACAATTGTTCTGAGGATTAAATAAGTTAATAGAAGTATAGCACTTAGTGCCTGGAATGTAGAAAGCCTCACAGAAGGATTAGTTATTATTATTAAGGAGTTGACTGATGTTTAACTAGTAGTTTCCTTTGCCCCAGTCCAAATAGTAGGTACCTGGCAGTTTATAGGGCAACTCCCATTTCCCTACAGTAGAGCTCAAAGATTTCCAAAGCCCACAGAGGGTCCACTTATCTTAAAGTGTATTTGATACAACTCAACAATCAGAGGTAGTCCTGGAAGCCGAGTGCAGTGGGATTGGATGTGAGCCGCCATTTTGTAGAGGAGCAGCGCCATGCCCTTTTACCTGCCGGACCCTTGGGTCTTTGTCCTCACCTAGAATACCCTCCTTTCTCCCGTGGAAAAGCCTACACAGGAGCATTCAAGGCCCAGCCCAGGCAGAGCTGCTCATTCGTTCGCTTGCTCACCTGTGTTCACACAGCAAAGTGGTCAGCTCTCCAGTGAAGAACTTTCTGCCTTGTATTAGTAGCAGCATGCTAGCACTCTTCAAACTTGACCTGTGTTTCTCTCTCACCAACACTCCTGCCTTAATGGGACTAAGGTCCAGTAAGTTTGAGGGATTAGCCCAAGGTCAGGTGCTTGTTGATTGAAGGCTCAGGAACCAGGACCCTGGTGCCCCAGTTCCCAGGCCAGGGCTCTTTTCTTTCAACTACATTGTCCTTATATCCAACTTCCATTAGTGAATGTCTACTATGGGCCACAGTATTTGTAAAGTACCATGAGTTCTTTACATATGTGGTTTCCAATCCTCCCAACTCAGCTAGGTTTATTCCCTATTTAAATACGTAGACACCGAGGCCAAGTGACCTGCT